GCGGCTCAGACGGGGCGGCACCACGAGGGCCGGGTGTCCTTCGGGCACTCGCTGGTGGCCGACCCGTGGGGCACCGTGGTGGCCCAGTGCCACGAGGGGCCCGGGCTCTGCTTCGCCGACATCGACCTCCAGTACCTGGAGAGCGTCCGCAGGGACCTCCCGGTGCAGGGGCACCGACGCACAGACCTCTACGGGGTCCCGGGGGCACCACGGCCCTAAAGGAACCAAATCTACCCCAAATCTGCCCCAAATCAACCTCTACGGGGTCCCGGGGGCACTAAGGCCCTAAAGGAACCAAATCTACCCCAAATCTGCCCCAAATCAACCTGTACGGCTGCCCGGGGGCACCACGGCCCTAAAACCTGCACTGGAGCCAGATCTGACCCCAAATCTGCCCCAAATCAACCTCTACGGGGTCCCGGGGGCACCAAGGCCCTAAAGGCTGGATCTGAACCAAATCTGACCCCAAATCAACCTCTACGGGGTCCCGGGGGCACCAAGGCCCTAAAACCTGCCTTGGAGCCAAATCTGACCCCAAATCAACCTCTACGGGGTCCCGGGGGCACTGGGACCCTAAAGGAACCAAATCTACCCCAAATCTGCCCCAAATCTGCCCCAAATCAACCTGTACGGGGTCCCGGGGGCACCACGGCCCTAAAATCTGCATTGGAGCCAAATCTGATCCCAAATCAACCTCAAATCAACCTGTAGGGCTGCCCGGGGGCACCACAGCCCTAAAGGCTGGACCTGAACCAAATCTACCCAAAATCTGCCCCAAATCAACCTGTAGGGCTGCCCGGGGGCACCACGGCCCTAAAATCTGCATTTGAGCCAAATCTGCCCCAAATCTGAATCAACCCCAAATCTGCCCTGAATCAGCCCCAAATCTGAATCAACCCCAAATCTGCCCCAAATCAGGCACTTGGACCTGTACGGCTGCCCAGGGGCACCAGAGCCATAAAACCTGCATCTGAACCAAACCAGCCCCAAATCAGCCCCAAATCTCCTCTAAGTTTGCCCCAAATCTCCTCTAAGTCTGCCCTGAATCAGCCCTAAATCAGCCTCGAATCAGCCCCAAATGTGCCCCAAATCAGCCCCGAATCTGCCCCAAATCTCCTCTAAGTCTGCCCCGAATCAGCCCCAAATCTGCCCTGAATCAGCCCCAAGTTTGCCCCAAATCAGCCCCAAATCTGCCCCAAATCAGCCCCAAGTTTGCCCCAAATCAGCCCATTTCTCCCCAAATCTCGGCCCCACGCCAGGCTCAGCACCCCAGCAATGGGGGATCCCCCCTCTTTTTGGGGTCTCTCCCCTTTCCTGGGGGTCACCCCCTTTTTGGGGTCACCTTTATGGCACCCCAGGGGTGACACCGACGCCCCAAAAATCCCTATTTTGCCCCAATCTGCCCTAAATCAGCTCATTTCCACCCAAAATGTGGCAACTCAGGGCCCCCAAAACCACGCCCCCCTTTTTGGGGGTGTCCTGTCCCCTTTTTTTGGGGTCCCCCCCCAAATTTGGGGGGTCCTGGGAGGGAGAAGGAACCTCAAGGGGGGATTTTTGTTCTCCTGAGATTTTAAAAATACAGAAATGACAAAAAATGACCCCAAAACGTGGCTGAATTCTTGGGGAGGGGGGGCCGTTTTTAGAGATTAAATGATAATTTTTGGGGTGAAATGGCCATTTTTGAGGCAAAATGGCCATTTTTGGGGGTGAGAAAGGTTGTTTTGGGGGGGGAAATGGTTATTTTTTGGCGTATAATGGGAATTTTTTTGGGGAAAATGGTTATGTTTTGGTGTATAATGGGAGTTTTTTGGGGGGAAATGGCCGTTTTTGGGGTTAAAACGAGTGTTTTATGGGGGAAGTGGCCATTTTTGGGGGAAAAAGGCAGGTTTTGGGGGGCTTAATGGCAATTTTTGGGTGAATCCTGAAAAACCCTCAGGGGAAAAATGGAATTTGGGGGGAAAACGGGAAAAACTGAGGGGAGGGAAAGGGGGAAATCAGCCCAAAAAACGGGAATTTGGCCTTTTTTTGTCGTTGTTTTTAGTGGATGGAAAAGAAAAGGTGGGAAAAAAGAGGGAAAACCCACGGGAATCACAAGGAGGGGAAGGAGTTTGACAGGAAAAAAGTGAGGGATTCTGGAATATTCCACTGGATCTCCAACCCCCCAAACCCCACCAAGGGTCCCTCAAGTGCAAAAATGGGATTTTTGCCTTTTGTTTTGTTGTTGTTTTTAATGAATATAAAAGAAAACAGGGGGAGAAAAACCATGGAAAACACAAGGAGAGAGGGAGGAACCGACAGGGCCAAAGTGAGGAATTCCAGAATATTCCAATATTCCAGTGCTTCCCCGCAGCTCCAACCCCCCAAATCCCACAGCAACAAGATTTTTGCCTTTTTTTGTGGTTTTTAATGGATACAAAAGAAAACCAAGGGGGGGAAAAACATGGAAAACACAAGGAGGAGGAGGAGGAACTGAGTGAAAAGTGCGGAATTCCGGAATATTCCAGCGCTCCCCTCACACCTCCGACCCCCCCTGAAATCCCAGCGTGTCCCTCAGGGGAAAACCAACGGGATTTTTGCCTTTTTTTTGTTGTTGTTTTTAATGGACACGAAAGAAAACGGGGGGAAAAACGTGGAAAACACAAGGAGAGGGAGGAGTTGACGCGGGAAAAGTGAGGAATTCTGGAATATTCCGACATTCCAGTGCTCCCTGCAGCTCCAACCCCCCAAATCCCGCCGTGGCCCTCGGGAGAACCGAGGGCATTTTTGCCTTTTTTTGCGGTTTTTAACGGATACAAAAAGAAAATGGGGGGAAAAAACATGGAAAACACAAAGAGGAGGAACGGACAGGGCAGAAAGGGCGGAATTCCAGAGGATTCCAGCGCTCCTCACACACCTCCAACCCCCCAATCCCACCGGGATTTTGTTGGAAAACAACCCAAAAAAACCTGAACGAGAAGAACAAAAAGGAGGAGGAGGAGGAAAATCCATGGAAAGAAAGTCTGAGGGGAAAAATGGGGGGGAAAGGGGGGAAAAAGGGAAAAAAGGGGAGGGGGGAAAAAAAGGCAGGAAAATAAAAGGTGGGGGAAAAAAGGGGGGAAGAAGAAAAAAAGGTGGGAAAACAAAAAAAAGGAGGGAAAAAAGGGTGGGAAAACAAAAAAGGTGGGAAAACAAAAAAGGCGGGAACAGGAAAAAGGCAGGAAAACAAAAAAAGGCGGGAATAGAAAAAAGAGCAGGAAAGCAAAAAAAGGCAGGAACAGAAAAAAAAGGCGGGAAAACAAAAAAAGGCGGGAAAACAAAAAGAAGGCGGGAACAGAAAAAAGCCGGGAACAGAAAAAGGGCGGGAAAGCAAAAAAAAGGCGGGAAAACAAAAAAGGCGGGAACAGAAAAAAGGCAGGAAAACAAAAAAAGGTGGGAAAACAAAAAAAGGCGGGAACAGAAAAAAAGGGCAGGAAACCAAAAAATGGGCAGGAAAACAAAAAGGGCAGGAACAGAAAAAGGGCAGGAAAACAAAAAAAAAGGCAGGAAAACAAAAAAGGCAGGAACAGGAAAAAGGTGGGAAAACAAAAAAAGGCGGGAACAGAAAAAAGGCGGGAAAACAAAAAAAGGCGGGAACAGAAAAAAAAGCGGGAAAACAAAAAAGGTGGGAAAACAAAAAAAGGCGGGAAAAGGGGAAGGGAAAAAAAAGGTGGGAGAAAAAAAGGGAAAACAAGGGAAGAAAGGAGAAAAAAAAGGGGAAAAAACAAAAAAGGTGGGGAAAAAAAGGAGTGGGGGGGGAAAAAAAAAAAAAAAAGGCGGAAAAACCCCCCCCCCCCCCCCCTCAGGGAGCCGTTTGGAGCATCAAGTTCCTCAGGAGTTTCTGGCGTCCCACCTCATAATCCTCCTCGTCCACGTTGACCAGCAGCTTGATGGCCTCGTGGCCCACGGCCTGTTTGAGCGAGTCCGTGATGAAGACGCCCTTGAGGGCCTCGAGCAGGGAGCCGTTGATGTAATCCCGCCAGAAGGCGTCCAGGTAGGTGAGCTCCGAGAACTTGATGTCGCAGATGATGGAGCCCAGATCCCGGGATTTCAGGATGGTGTTGGCCTGGTTGAAGCGCTCGAACTGCCGCTCCAGCGGCTCCTGCTTGTTGGAGAAGACGTTGCCCTGCAGGGCGGAGTCGTGCTGGCAGTACTCGGCTCGCACCCGCAGGCGGATGTCTGCCAGGGGAAAAGCCCAAAAATCAGGGATAATACCCTGAAATCCGTGGTTTTAACAAAATCAGGCTGGGATCCCACCGTGAAATCCGTGTTTTTACCAAAATCAGCCTGGTTTTCTACCCTGAAATCCATGTTTTTACCAAAATCGGGCCCGTTTCCTACCCTGAAATCTGTGTTTTTACCAAAATGGGCCTCGTTTCCTACCCTGAAATCCCACCCAGAAATCCGTGTTTTTACCAAAATTGGCCTGGTTTCCTACCCTGAAATACGTGGTTTTACCAAAATCAGTTTGGTTTCCTACCCTGAAATCCGTGGTTTTACCAAAATCAACCTGGTTTCCTACCA